TATGTAACGATCATATCAAAATAGTTAATTGACTCTCAGACAAGCGATTTTCTTCATTGCTCGTCTTCTTACAGAATACATTTATTTACAGTCAGTATGTCCATTGATTTGTAAAACTGGACACTAATTAAGCAAGGTCTGCTTTGCGTCTGCTTAAGACTGGTTAGAAAGCGTGTTTGTGAATACCGTCAGTTAGGGGTGTGACGGTACACGTATTCCTAACGAAAATGTTCAGTAAGGGAAAAAAATACAGCATTGTTTTAACCACTGCACGAGTGGAACTACATTGAAAACTTCCAGTTTTACATATTGTTACTTTTAATAAGAAACAAAGTCTCCTCTTTCAAATGATGTCCATTTCTTTCAGGAAATTCAAACAGCAAATGCCATTTTAATGCTCTTTGATGTGGCGCAACAGATCGCTGTATAAACAGTTCAACTGTTGTGTACTAGGCTTCAACAAAAGATGTATTTTTTGAGAAGGCTCAGATTTTATGGTGTCAGTAGCATGATTATGATGTTGTTTTATCAAGCTGTACTAGAGAATGTGATCAGATATTTGGTACGGTAATTTGACAGTACAGCTGAAATCTAGGCTTGGACATCTCCTTCAAACAGCCATGAAAATCATGGGCCGGATAGAACCTCTTTATCTGCAGACTCTATATGAAAAGTCTATGCTGAGGGAGGCAGATAAGATTCTGCATGATACAACACACATCTTGAACTGTGAGTTTGTAATGCTGCCCTCAGGAGATTAAGAATTCCAAGATGTAGATTAAATCGGTTCAAGAACTCGTTTATTCCTTCTGCAATTAAGCTATTAAATAACATTATGTAAGGTTAGGTATTTCTGGATTATTATTATTATTTTTGTTTTTTTTCCCTTTTCCTTATTGTTATATGTTTTATGTGACGTGGTGGTTGTGTTTCTGAGCCTAAGACAAATTTCCCTCAGGGACAATAAAGTATATCTTAACCTTAAACGGCAGCACGATCGTCCTTTCCTCTTTACTACTAATTTTAACGTGAAATAAACATGAATGAACATCTCATGCCTCATGTAATCACTCAATCAGTGTTTCAAACACAGAAAGACGTCGAAACAAAAAGACCCGTAGCATTTCATTTACCTCAGGCAAGTCATCAGCATCCGCAGCTCGTTAGTTCACTGGAGAAATCAAGAGCATTTCATGAAATATTAGACTATATACTCATTACATTTTACTTTACTTGTTAGTGACGTCTTAATTATTTAATGTATGTTTAAATAAATCTGTTATGAAACAAGTCATGACAGCCACTGTGTAAATAAATATATTTCAGCAACAAATAGACATTTTTAGAAGTTAATTTAAAAACTTCATTATGTCCAATTTACACGTTTGCATACAATTTTTTTAAGTTGAGTGTTGATTATTATATTTAAAAATAAATGTTGTTAATTGTAACATTATAGTAATGTAAAAGTGCTCGAGCATAAGCTGAGGTAGATTTTTATACATAAGAACATTTTAATTATAGCTGAATTTATTTAAAGAAAGAGCAATTTGTTCAGTGAATCACTGTTTAATAATTAAAAAAAAGCAATTTTATGTTTAGTTTTTCCCCTGCTGTACCAAAACCATACTGAACCGTGACGTCAAACCGAGGTCCGTACCGAACCGTCATGTTTGTGCACCGTTACTGTCAGTATGATATCTGTTACTCTATTCATCCATTCCTGAAAGCTAAATGAAGTTATTCTCATACTCTGATATCAAGAGCTCTGTTCGATTATACGTCACAATTAATCTTCTCCACAAGAATTCGGTCAAAGAGGAATGACTGCTAGTTTGACAGATAAATACTTAAATAAATGTGGCACGAATAAGACGACAAAGCATGAACTAAGCCTGTGATTACACCTCACTGATGTGAATCATCCTGTGACACTTAATGAGCAGTCTCAAGAAATTATTACCTACAACCAAAATCTCCCTTCTGCTCTGTAGATCCAGTCAAAACAGGATTCCTCAGAGACATTACTGGCAGCTTGAGTCAACAGCTCTGGTCCTAAAGCTGAGAGCGTTTTGATTCACCATCAGACGCTTCTCGAGGAAAGCACCATCGAGCTCAAACACACTTTCCTCTGGCCAAATTATTAGGAGGCCTCATTTTCAGAGGCCATCCCAGAACTGCAAAGAGCTGGAAAAGAATGAAAGAACTGGCCTTTTATTTTTGATAGGACAGCAGAGAACGGAGAGGAAAGTGTGGGAGACTCGAACCCTGATCCCAACAAACACTACAGCTCTTTGTGTTGATCAGGGCATGACAACAAATACGACCAGACAAATGCATTTCAATCAGTACTGAAAACTATCACAGAAAGCCTGCACTGTCTATGTAGATCTTTCCAAATGAGTCGTTTATAGACCTTAGTCAGGTTAGACGCCATATTGAATTTAATATGGATGAAAAGGGACAGACTTGCAGTCTTTTCAATGGCACGCACTGTATGAAGGTCATAGATTGTGTCATTTTCACAACTTTCAGAACTGCTTTATGGAGTTTTTGTCTACTGAAAGTTGTTTTCATCAGCTAAACGATTGGTATGTTGTTAAACAACAGCACAATCCATTGAAAGCGCTGTACTTCAGTCCCTCACAACCTAATTTTCATTCCTGTCAAATATTAAATATTGCGCTTTCCTGACTAACGTCTGTGAGGTTTTATTTTCAGGTGCTTCCTCAGAAGAGAGCTGCTGGTATAGACAGCAGAACAGAGCCCGTGTGAGCTGGATATCAGAATATTTTTTAGTCAATAAAACGGCCTGTGACACACACACACACACACACACACACACACTGGCTCCTCAAAGCTCGACGCAAACACATGTTTATTCTGCCGCGTCAGACGCTACCTCATGGCTGTTTGTTCAAAAGTCTCGCGCACTGAACACACTCATTTATTCCACTCAAATTTGTGGTAAATAAATACAGTCTGCTTTCAGGAGAGGTGCACTGTTTTCCTTTTCCACTATTTATGCTATTAGCCTGATAGACAGAACAGAAAAGTCTTGTAATGGATCTGAGCTTTGATGTGTTGGACTGAATCTGTTAATTTACTGTCACAACATATCGAGTCGCGCGTTCCTCTGACTCTTCTGATGGTTAAGACGGTCTGATAACATCATGCTGAACCTGCTTTGCGTCTGTCTAATGATGAAAGCGAACAGAAAAAGTAGTTAACGAGTCCCTGGCATGCGTTCAGTGTCTCTCTGATCGAACGCAGCTCTTGTGCAGCTTTTGAATGCGGTTTTTCATTTGAGCCATTCTGAGGTGGACAACAACATCAAAACATTCTCGATGGCAAAAAGCTGTAGGAGGAAGGCTGAGATATTTTACATGCACACAAACAGCACATGTTTCAGAGCTCTTTTCACATCAGACGTAAATGGGTCGAAAGATTATTTTATTACGGCTTCACAGCCAATTTATTAGTTTGTGTGCCTTTGAAATGCTAAATTTCTGCTCCAAATTTTTCACTCAGATGGTTTGGTTCACCAGTTTCTCCCTTTTTCTGTAATCCAGCAAAGCGATATCTCATTATATGGTGACTTAATTGTGCAACACACGTAGAAAATGAATATAATAGCAAACTAGCGTTTATAAAAGCAATGTTTTTCATATTTCTCTCCATTAGAACTAAAACACCCAAGAACGGTGCATGGATGCAAATGTTATTGCTGAATGAATAAAATAAGAACCAAAAACAAATACAGAACATGTTGTGTGGAGGTGAACGTTACAGTTTGATATATTATGCAATGCCACTGCAGCGCACAACACAAAAAGATATGCTAAAAACTATTTGAGTAATGTATGCATAAGCAATTATTCTTTTTAAATGAATCCAGTCACATAAGGAAGGAAAGGCTTGGCTTATCTGTTGACCTTCAAGGGAACACACACACACACACACACACAAAACCCCTAAACAATCGTCATTAAGAGTGCAGTTGTGTATTTGATGGGGGAGTTAAATACCCCGCAGCAGATCACCTTTGGAGTGGCTAACTAATACAGACGGGGAAACGACACTGGAAGTGAAGCGTCTGGGGAGCGAGACCAGGCCAAACATGTCAGACCCGCTGGAGGCTAACCGACCTACACTAGTCCTGCTCTGATCGCTGTAACCCCCCACCTGACTTACCTAAGAGCAAGGTGTGGGCTAATCTCTAAAAACAGACATGTGGAGGTCATGCTATCTGTGTAGGACAGCAGAGTGTGTGTGTGTGTGTGTGTTTGTGTGAATTTAGAGTACTTTTCCACAATGGATGTATTTAGAAGATGCTTTTTACCAAAGCGATTTACAAATGATGCACATCACAGGCAAATTGTCATAAGACCCACAATATTCATACACAATGCCAATTTTAAAGTCGGTGCACAAGCTAAAATAGATAAATGCAGAAAAAAGAGAGGTTTTTTAACTTTTCAAAAAGGAATTATGGTGCCTTAAATTTGATAGATGAATAGAAATTATGCAAAGCATTAAATAGAATATTAATCAGACCACAGAAAAAAATAAGCATAGCCTACATGTGCTTACCGTGTTCTTTTTGTCTTAAATAAACAACATTTTAAGGCATTTGGAAATATACAGAACACATTTTTGTCTCCATAGCATATGACGTTGTCTGAGATGGCTGGGGTTTCATTTTCATGCTTTCTAATGTTTTATGAGTTTACATCCCTAATTCTATTCAATTCAGTGTCTTTACTGTATTTTTCTTGATTGTACAGCCCTTTGGCACAATATGTGTTGCTTTAAAACGTGCAACTTGAACTCGTTTGAAAACTGTGGGAGAAAGTCAATTTCTCTCAAAAACAGATGGCGTTTTGGTTGACATTTAGCAAACACGTAATATTCAGAGCGTATGCATAAAACAGCAGCGCATATTCTTCCCCTAATCACGTGACCCTCGGAGCGACGCGAACATCGCAGGCGCTCCAGCGGCCAATAAACGCGACGCTTCGCGCCGGAGGAGGCGCGTCTGACTGACTGTCATGCGAGTTTCAGGAACCGAAGAGAACAGAAGGGCGTGTGTTATTAATAATCAGCCGAGCAGAAAGTCCCACAGTCGTTCTGACAGCGAGCAGACGAGGAAACGCAGCGCTGCGGAGAGGAGAGGACGCCGAGCCGCGCTTGATTCATCGCTGCGTGGGTTACGCTTCTGCGCTCGGCGCTGCTTTCTGTCGCGTTCCAGCGTGACTAATCGGAGCTTTGACGCAGTGGATTGTTTCTTCATCTGATCGATCCTACACACAGTAAGTGACACGATCCGCCTGTCTGTTCGCCAGTGTGTGCTTTGGGATTTTGAAGGGGGATTGTTCTAACGACCATGTGGCGAAAAGAATAAGAAAGTGCAAGAGAAGCGCTCAGCTGTGTTTGGATGAAGCCCAGGAAAGTCAACAGTGAGTCTTTATTGACGGGAAGAACTCGGAACTGTAACGAAGCTTCCTGGTTTCATTATTTTAATGACAGTCTGATGATCATTTAGAGATTGCTTTGATGTCTGTGTGAATCGCGGAGGAGAAACTGTATGTATGTGTGTAAGTTTTAGGCGCACGATTGTGATTTTGGTCACACACAAACATTGATTTTACCATCAGCGTTGTGATTCGGAAACGATACAGTGATTGTTTACTTCGGTAGCCCTTGGTTTATTTTTCCTCATCTTCCGTTTTTGTATTTCTACTCTTTTGTAGGTTTAACGCTGAGGATTTCTGAATGCCCTTCCCAATCCCAACAACTCGATTGATTATTTTTTCCCATCGTGGATGACTGAAAACGCACAGCTGAGAGAATTTCTCGGCGTATTATGTCTTGTGAGGAATCTGTCTTGCTGTTTCAATGACGGGTAAGATGGAAACGCCCTTCTATCACGATGATAGCGTTCCCAACTTTGGGCAAATTCCAGATTACGATCGATACCAAGGCCACAAGATTATGAGCAAGAAGAACAACATGCCGCATCATTTCTCCCACAGCGTGGGAAATGCCTCGAGCCTCAAACTCAACAGCCCCAGCGGTCTGGGCATGAGCGTCAATCCCAACGGCTCGCTGATGTCTTCTCCAGACATGAACCTCCTGAAGCTGGCCTCTCCAGATCTGGAGCACCTGATTATCCAGTCTAACCAGGGACTGGTTACTACAAGCCCGGCTCCAAACGCGTCTGCTAATCCCTTCATGTACCGAAACCAGGCCACGAACGAGCAGGAGGGATTCGCAGACGGCTTTGTCAAAGCTCTGGCCGATCTGCACAAGCAGAACCAGCTGGTGGGGGCCCCCATGTCGCCCTCCTCCTCCATCCAGGGCTCCTACCAGAGGAACCTGATGCCGGGCGCAGACATGCCCATCTACACCAACCTGAGCAGCTACAACCCCAACCAGCTGCCCTCCTCTTACCCCGGCGGCCAGATGGCCTACGCCTCGCCCCACGGCCCTCAGACTCGAGGCCCGGACGCTCCGCAGACAGTGCCCGAGGTCCCTCACCTGCCCGGGGCCGACCCGGCCAGCTCCCCACCCTCGCTCTCTCCCATCAACCTGGAGACCCAGGAGCGGATCAAGGCGGAGCGCAAGAAGCTGCGGAACCGCATCGCCGCCTCCAAGTGCCGCAAGAGGAAGCTGGAGAGGATCTCGCGGCTGGAGGAGAAGGTCAAGGTGCTGAAGACGCAGAACTCGGACCTGGCCTCCACCGCCAGCATCCTGAGAGAGCAGGTGGCTCAGCTCAAACAGAAAGTCATGAATCACGTCACTAATGGCTGCCAGATCGCCGTCAGCTCAGCCGGCATGGCCAAGAGCGGCGAGAGCACCAGCTGCTGAAACCACAAGACACGCGCAAGGCTTTTCTAATGACTTTCTCTTTATCTGCTCTCGCGCTCATTCTCTGTCTCTCTCAGCCCCGTCTTGCTTCTGCTCAAAGGGAGAGGCGGGGGAGACCCGTCAGTGAGCGACGCCGCTTTCCATCTGTCCAGGATTGACAAACCTGCACATGCTCCCGAAGTACGTTCTTCAAACGCTCTTTGGACTCGGGGTCGAAAAGGCCAAAGTGACAGGGATGCAAATGCACTGCGGGTGGGATGGTCATAAAGGGAACAAAAATTCTGCACTTGAATATTTTTCTCTTTTTTTTCCTGTTAACCCCGGCTTGCAACTGCAATTTTTCACTTCAGGCCGATGGAAACTTTCCTCAACGTTTTTTTCTTTATAATCAACGTCTCGTTCAACCTATGGAAAAACTTTATATATTTTAGGGGTTCGTGTTTCTAAAATTGTTGCACTATTATGCAAACATATCTCCAAAGCACCTGACGGACTCTTACAAACGTGGAAGAGAACCGATCCCTTTATACTGCTTTGAGATGTCACCTGTGTTCTAGTGGAAATCTCTTGGTTTAATCTGTCACCTTGTCTCAGTAACAACATTACAGCATATGTTTGTTGGTTGGTTGGTTGGTTTGATATTGTGCAATTTGTGAATATGAGAAAAAAATATTTTATACGAACCAAGACTTTTTCAAAAGTATTACCTATTAATATCGCAACATTATAAGCAAAGAGACATCTGCGGATAAAGGATTGTGGTACTGTGCAAAACTTTAATGGCACCTTTGGCCGGTTTTGAGTTGGGAATTTCCTGAGCATTCCGAGACCTTTTGCACTGTAGTCTCCCGTCGGGAGATAAGTCCTAATAATGGGTTGATAGTGTGTTTTTGCCATTATCTAATGAGTATTAATGCTGTGTTAACCTAGAGTAACGGTGTGGAAAAGCTACTCTGGACTAAAGAAATGGAAAAATGCACCAAGTCAAGAGTCAAAACTGACCTGAAATCAGAACGACAACAAAAGGGCTTTTGATCAATAGTATTTTGCATTTTTTCTGTATTTTATTTTATTTTAATTTTTTTTATGAATTATGAAGCAATTTTATTTATACAGAATTTGTATTTATGTTGTTTTCTGAGGAGAGGAAGAATATGGTTGGAATACTAGTGTCTAGTTGAAACTACACGATTGCACATAAATCAGAAACATTAAATGATGTGTAATATTTATCCTCTGTGTATAGCATGACAGTTTGAACTATAACTACAACTATGTTTATAGTAGATAAAATAATAAATGAACAGAATTCTGCAAGATTGTGGGTAATGCACCCAGACATTGTTTTACGAGGCGAGCAGAAGTCAGCGCTCTACTGCAGACGTCAGATCAGCTCGATGAAGTCACGAGCTTCGCATCGCTGCGATAAAGAACTCGTAGAAGGCCTGCTTTTGTGAAAACCATCCATGTGTTAAAGAGTCCTGTACGTCTGCCAGTGTTGCTACTCAGAACTGCTGTTCAATGCTTTTCTTTTACAGTCAATGGAGATGCAGATCATTTTATTTATACATGTATATCCATTAGGAGATGATTCGTAGGGATACCGGAGACTGGTACTAGAACTGTCAAATAACCTTGAGCAACAAGAAGATATTTATTTTTTGAAACTTGAATAAGGTTTTTGATGTCACAAACGTATTGTATTTTTGTACAAAATTTTTTTGTTTAAGAATAGTGTGTGTACAGTACCTACTGTATTGCTTTGTATCATTCCAGTACTTTATTTATTGAAGTGGTTTTCTTGAGCAGTGTGGTGGTGTTTTATTTGAGCTCGGCTCCAAGCGTTTCTGTGTTGCTGGTTTGTGTTCGTACACGCCTGCTGTTGGTACATTTGGCTCCAGTTTTTCCACTGGTCCTTGATTTGTTCCTGATTGTTCTGTGTTCCTCTATTTTAACCCTAAATCTGGTGTTTTTCGTTGTTTCTTGGGACATTGGGACTGTATGGCTGTGTTTTTTGATCCAACTCTAAAGACTGATTGCATCGTTCATTTCAAAATGAAGAAATCTTTGACAGACCACAAGGTCTTTTTTCTTTACTGTGTGTCATATGTACACATACTGAAAATGAGTTTACTCCGTTTACTTTGCGTGTACAGAAGGCGGTTTGTGTAACGATTATCTTCTCAGTCCTGATCCCGAATTAGATTCAGATTTTCATGACTGAGCATTTTAAGTCAAAGATGTAGTTTGATGATGAATATGTTGCAGCAGCACGGTGTCTTGATGTGGAAGAGTGTCAGATTTTGACGGCCGGTTCTGGAGCCTCATTTACTGTTTTTCGAGAGAATTACACAAAGACTCGAGCGACTGGTGGTCAAACGCGGGCTGACGGGGTGTGACTGAGGGGCGACTTGCCTCGCTGGTTTATTTGCTTCTAAATAACATGCAGTCTTCAAATGCTGTTCATTGTTCCCTTGTTTTCTTATTTGATCAACAATAAAGAGGAGTAGGTTTCTGAAAACTTGTCTTGCGCGTGTCATGCCTTTCTTTAATACCATAATTCTGTGTTTTTGTGTTTCAGTGCAGTACACACACAAATCTGGCATTTGAGAAATGACACGACAGTCTGGGCAAAAGTCATTAGTCAGATGTCTTAACAAGGGTCATAAACGTATTCTGTGCCTCCTCCAGGTCCTGTAAGTACGAGAAGCGTTTCAGAGCCGTTCCCATAAAGATGAGCGGCACTTCCAGTAAAGCACAAGGAACGTCTGTCTGGGTCATTGTGAAAGTAAAAGTCAGAGCTGAGGAGCTGCAGGGGAATCTCAGATCCCGCCGGCTATCTCCTTCAAAGAGTTACACAGAGAAATAAGAAAACCACGACAAACTGATAAATCACGAGCCTCAACAGACAGTTGAGCGCCTTCTAAACGTGATTTATATATTTATATTTGCTGGATACTTTACAAAGTGATGTCTTCAGGCTCCAAGTCAACAAAATAAGTTCTGCTCTGCAGGTTTGCTGCTGCGTTAGTGTTCTTCCTCGGAGTTATGCGGATGCTCAGTCTTCTGGGAATGACTAACTCTACTTCTGCCCACCTTTCTTCCCACACAGCGGCAGGAGAAGCGGGTTTGGGTCGAAGACTTCCGTCCGTTCTCAGCCTCTTCCGGCTCGATAGGCTTTCTGTCGCGTCACAGAGCAGACGTCGTCCCAAAAGAGGGACAATCATGAAGAAAATGCAAAGACTTTCTATGAAGTCATGTCTTATGTAATGTAGTTGTTGTTTTTACATATTTCTAAAATAGCTATCCTACAAAGAACCGCGTGTAACGTCTGACATGATCCTGCTGAAAGAAAATTTGAATTTGTAATGGTTTTACTGGTTATAATGGGAATTGTATTGGTTTTAATGGAAACTGTAATGGTGCCTTCTATTAGTGGCTTGTTAAAACCACTAAATCCTAATGGAACATGTCCCTAAACACACTACAGGAAACCATTTTTTAATGGTTTTAATGGTTAAACTTTGATGGTTTGTAATATTTGTAATGGTGGAAACCATTAGAATTTCTGTGATGGTTTTTTATTTTTTTTTCAGCAGAGGTTGTTTGGCAGAAAGGAGAGTCAAGGCCAGAACTGTGGAATTGTTAATACATTCTGATTACGAGTCATTATCAGTGCAACTACTGAACATAATAAGAGAGACAGAGAGGGGTCAGTGAAATATTTGCTTTGGGAGGGTGCGGGTGTGTAATTAAGGTTGCAACATGTGAGTAGGAGGGACACACCCCTCTTGTGCGTGCGTGCGTTAATGGTGCGTGTGTGTGTCTCTGTGTGTGCGTGCGTGCGTGTGTCTCTGTGCGTGCGTGCGTGCGTGTGTCTCTGTGTGTGCGTGCGTGCGTGTGTCTCTGTGTGTGCGTGCGTGCGTGCAGCGACGAGGAAATACCGGCGCATCCACACAGTTCTGCTTCTTATTGTACAGTCACGGCAGAAGGAGGACCGTCCTCCTGTAAATATAACTTCCGGTAACTTTGAGATGAAACCACGATTACAGCATCTGGAGGAGTTTCCCCTCCCATACCCCACTTCTCAGAGAAATTCTCTTTTCTTCGTATCCTTAATCATAGTTCAGAAGAAGCGTGAGCCCGTGTCATTCTGAAATAGCTCTTGGCTTCTCCATCACAGATGAGGGAGAGTTATGATCGCATTAGCCGTGACTGATAAAAACCGTTCTGACTCGAAGTACCCCGAATCTTCCACAACAAACCCCGTATGTGATGTTTACCCGTCGCTCTTTCTGCTGAAATTATGACTGTTTTATTATCAAACAGTCTCTATATTAAACGAACCACGGTTCATTTTGTGATTCCAGAAGTTTCTAGAATAGTATGTTCTTCAGTGTGAACAACAGATACTGAGAGGAGAAAATAAGGAATATAAAAATATTGTATAGCATTTCAAAGTTTTTATATTGTAAATTGTAATTAGTGCTGTCAAACGATAATCGCATCCAAAATAAAAGTTTTTGTTTACAGAACATATGTGTGTGTGTACTGTGAATATTTATTATGTATATATAAATACACACACATGCATATATACTGTATATTTAAGAAAAATATTTTTATATATTAAATATATTTATATAGGCTATAATATAAATTATATGAATATAAATATATACATGTAAATATTTCATATGTAAATATATACTGTATGTGTGTGTCTTAATATATACATAATAAATAAACACAGTATACACACATATATTCTGTAAACAAAAACCTTTATTTTGGGTGCTATTAATCGCGATTAATAATTTGACAGCACTAAATCATTTTATGGATCCTGAAGTTTGCTGAGAGCTGCTGCTTTATATTTCTGAAGCACATGCTCACCCCGCTGAAGTAAAAAACAGAAACCATCACAGAAATTATAATGGTTTCCACTACAAATACCTTTACAAACATTGCAAATCATCAACTTTTAACCATGAACACCATTAAAAATTGTGTTTTGGGACAAATTTCATTAGGATTTATTGGCTTTAACAAGCCACCAATAGAAGGCGACCAATTACCAGCAGAGACCCACAGGGTCCATTACAGTTTCCATTATAACCATAAAACCATTACAAATTCTGTGATGTTTCTATTGTTTTCGTCAGCAGGGCACACATACCTGAAATTACTACATGCTGTCAAAATGATACAATAATAATAATAATAGTAACTTGAAGAGCACCGTTCCTCATCTTTACAGCATTAGCTTTCGAACATCTCGAATGGCTTGTTTTCTCAGCAGCTTTGGCCCGCACCAGTTCAGATCTCTCACACATCGTGCCCTGTGGCTTGAAGAAACACTGCGACTTTGAGGCTCGGACGAAAACTCAGGGAAGAAGCAGAAGCCGTCGTCTAATGAGAGCTGAAGAGTTCATGCGGCCGAGCAAACAATTCTGCAGATATATTTCATTTCAAGAAATAGTCTGAAATCACATGTATCACATGTTTTTCTCTCTATAATACACAGTTGAAGAAGTCTCTCTAACTGATTCTCATGTTTAAGGTTAGTGCTGGCAACACAACGGTCATGGTTCTGATTCCCAGCCAATGCAATAACTGAAAAGAAGGCAAGATGGAATTCAGTGTGTTCAGATAGAAGATGATAAATGCTAAATGTGTGAAAATGACCAGCTCGTCGAGTTTGCCGTAGATCTGGTGATTCATCAGGGACGTTAAGATGACAGAACTGAAACGCTCTGATCCTCTCTCGTGGATCTGATTATTCTAGCTGTTCTACGGATCACGTTTCTCACTTTGCTTTCTTTCTTTTTTATTGATGGGGAAAGTGATTATGTTGCTCAAATATACTCTAAGGTGAACCAGACCTCCAAACTCTGTTCAAACAATGGACCAAGCCACATTTAAACCGATTGACCTGTTTGTTTTAGACTCGATGTTTAATTGGACTTGATTTGATTTAATAGAGTGCAATTTAAGGCTTCACCTTGCCAGATTTTTCATGCTGACAGAATGAAACACAGCCGTGTGTGAATGTAGAAAACCACGCCAAAGCGAAGGAGTGTGTTAGTTGTGTGTAAGGCGGCTGTTGTTGTGTCAGCGAGCGCAGGACTGAGCGGTTCTCTGGAGGATCTGGGAGAGTCTGCCGAGGCAATATTCCTAAACAGCTCTAATCTAAGATCTAATCCGATCGGTCATGCTGACATGTATTATCCTATGAAAAGCATCCTGAAGGAAATGCAATCAAAATCAAATGGCCGCGCTGGTTTCGGCTCGGTTCCACCCAAACGTCTGACATCAAACCTCAAGCAGGCTTGTGTACATATAATTAGTCTTTCCGTTAAACTGGAATAACCTGTAGGATTCATGAGGGCATTAACAGCTCATTAACATTTTTCTGTCACTTCAGATCTTTTTTTAGTAGGACAAGCTTTACAAAGTCAAACACAAATCAATCTTCTACTGCATCAGAAATAACAGAGCGCACAGACAAACGAAAGCACTGAGTGATGCAGGTGATCCAGAGTTCAGTGTGTGTCCCTGCAGCACAAAAGCAGTATTAAGTCGCTGGGGTATATTTGTAGCAATAGCCAACAATACATTGTATGGGTCAAAATTATACATTTTTCTTTTATGCCAAAAATCATTAGGATATTAAGTAAAGATCATGTTCCATGAAGATATTTTGTAAATCTCCTACTGTAAATATATCAAAACTTAATTTTTGATTAGTAATATGCATTGCTAAGAACTTCATTTGAACAACTTTAAAGATGATTTTCTCAATATTTAGATTTTTTTGCACCCTCAGATTCCAGATTTTCAAATAGCTGTATCTCAGCCAAATATTGTCCGATCCTAATAAACCATACATCAATGGAAAGATTATTTATTTATTTATTCAAAAATTGACGTTTACAAATAAAGGTGCTTAAAAGGTTCTTCACAGCGATGCCATAGAAGAACTATTTTTGGTTCCACAAAGAACCATTCAGTCAAAAGTTCTTTAAAGAACCATCTCTTTCTTACCTTTTTATAATCTGAAGAACCTTCTCTCGCCACAAAGAAGCTTTTGTGAAACAGAAAGCTTCTTCAGATGTTAAAGGTTCTTTATGGAACTATGTAGACAAAAAAGGTTCTTCTATGGCATCGTGAAGCACCTTTATTTTTAAGAGTGTATGACAGGTTTTGTGGTTGATTTTCACACTTCTGCATTACATACATCACACTGCTCACTTTATCAGTGTTCACATTTGAACCGAGCACTAACGGGACTAAAGCGGTGTTTTGGAAAGTAAGGTTAGAAAACATTTTTAATCACGGAGCCATGGCAGCAAACCTCTTTGAAACGTGAAGCAGTTTGTTTTTACAGTATTGATTTCATCAGGTCTCCAGCGATTACCTCACACTGGAGGGTCACGCTCTCCTGATGAGAGCATCGCTCTTAATGCTCTTAATGCTAGCGCAGCCCTGTGTTACATTTATCCAAATATTTTCCCGGTATCCATGAGAACCCTTCTGACGAAAGATGAGATTGAGCTAGCGAGGGGTTTAACAGAAAGACCTTTAGCTCTCGTCTCACATAGAGCCACTTATTCTATTAAAGAAAGCCAAACAGTAATAGATTACTTCGAAGCGTTTTTGGACAAGCATTCAATCTGTCTCCAAATGTTAGACATCAAACAATAATTGAAAATAATAGAAAAGCCACCATAAACAGCAGCTGAAACTGAAAGTGATTTTGAAGTGTAATCCTGACGTGTTTTATCTTGAATGTGCTTGACTGTGAATGAGAAAAGCACTGTAGTAGTGACGTGATCCACCTTCTCTGTGTGAAGCATCACGGCGCTCCGCGGCATCCCGTGTAACCCCACACATCCACTGTGACATCACTGCGAGGTTATTTGGCACAGGCCTTGATGCCTGTGTAGTGTGTAATGGAATAAATCGCCCTTGTGCTGGCCGCAGCGCACAAAAACACATCTGAAAGCTGTTATCAGCAGCAATGACATCAGCTGCCTGAGCTCATGTTCTCAGAGTCCACTCACTGAGTGTGTGTGTGTGTGTGTGTGTGTGTGTGTGAGAGTGTGTGTCTGCGAGCACAGAAAGTAAAGAAGCTGCTTTAGAAATGTAAGGCTTAATTGTTCACAGTACTGTTCAATATTAATACATTCACGAATACAGATTCTACAGGTTTTGTCGAAATCAGTGAAGCCATGTTCTGTCTAAGGAAGCTTATGTCATTGAAACGGCACATCGTCTCGCTGGTCTGGAGAGAAAAGACAGTAAATGATGACCTTCTGACCAATTCTTGCTATCAAAAGATTGCAACGTGTATTTGAACCCCACAAGAGTCACCCAGACGAAGCCACAGACCCCCGCAGGTGCTGCTTACAGTAACACAAGCAGACAACAGATGCGTCACCAAAACAGCGTGCTTCACAAAAACTCCTTTCCTTTCTAATTACTTTTATTCTAATGTGAAATGTGTTTGCCTTGAAGCCGGCAGAATGTTGTTGATAATTAAATTAAGCATTTTGAACATCTTTGCCGGCGAGCGCCTGGAGCGCAGACAGACACGGGAATGTTCGTTTCTGTGTCTGGATCAAGCGGCAGCCTCCCGCTCTCTCCTATTATCCCATCCTAAGTGCACACACACAGCAGTGAACACACACCCGGAGCAGTGGGCAGCCATTTCTGCTGCGGCGCCCGGGGAGCAGTTGGGGGTTCGGTGCCTTGCTCAAGGGCACCTCAGTCGTGGTATTGAAGGTGGGAGAGAGCGATGTACATTCACCCCCCCCCCTACAATTCCTGCCGGTACGAGACTCGAACCCACAACCTTTGGGTTACGAGTCCGACTCTCTAACCATTAGGCCACGACTCCCCCAACCATTAGGCCACGACTTCCCTCTAGTCCCCTAGAAGACCCCAGAGATCTGTCTGTTTTCTCTCCACACTATTCCTGAGGATCTGCGATCAGTGAGCGTCTGGAGAAGCAGTGGGCGTTCTGTCAAGCGCTCTTCTGGATCTGCATCCATCCATCAAACCACATCCGTGTGCATCGCTCAAACGCCACCAAACATGCAGATCTCGCTCTGATTGGACACACATCTCCACAGCAGAATCAAGCCATGATATCTTCGCTTCGCTCTCTGAGAACGGCACACCAACACCAGCGGCTGACAGTACTAGCTGCCATCTGAGAGCCTTATCTGCTGTAATTCCTGGTGTAGGTGGGTATTACTGTAATTAGATGTCAATAGAGACATGCGAATATATGAGACACTGAAATAGCCCCGGTGAGAAGCCAAGCGTCCTCATTTCCACACTTTGATTTCAAACCATGTGGATTTGGAGACTTTGTACATTTTTAGTTCAGATTAAAACCAGCGCCGCCAAAGAAGTGCTTGGAAAGAAACTGGTCTTATGAGTGTGTTTATGCCTGAGGGAAACCGTGCGACAGACTTCAGACACAAGTGTGTCATGAGTTCTGGATCGGGGTTAAATACTCACTAAATGCTTGACTTAGTGCTCTATTTCTAGCACGTTTAAATGAAATATACACGCACTGAGCTATGAATTCTATAATCAGTCTAATCCATTGCATATGAAGTGTCCTGGGCTTCAGCAGGCCTTCCGATCGACATTAAGAGGAAAATACAGGCTTCTGTGAAGCTTCACTGCCCTCTCGTGGTGCAACAGACCACAGACGTTTATTCCGTCGCTCATAGGATTCATCATAATGAAGGTTTGCTCTCCTAACGGTGTCATTTAAGTTAGTACAGTATAATAAACACACACAAAGCCAAAGCTACTCACTGACAACTTTGGGTTGTCAACTTAAAGTTCATTTTCTTATTTGAACCAACTCTTTGATAAAACAGGATATTATATTCAGGATGCACATATACAGGTGAATCTCAAAAAATTAGAATATCGTGAAAAAGTTCATTTTTTTTCTAACTTATTTCAAAAAGTTAAACTTTCATATATTCTAGATTCACTACATGTAAAGTAAAACATTTCAAAAGTTTTTTTGTTTTAATTTTGATGATTAGAGCTTACAGCTCACGAAAGTCAACAATCCAAAACTCAAAAAAGTTTCACTTTTTGAAATGTTACAAAAATGTTTTTACTTTTTCATGATATTCTAATTGTTTGTGATCCACCTGTAATAATGAGACAAACTGAATGAATTTTTCATTCTCCGAGAGAGAGAGAGAGCATGAAACTGCATTGCCAGTGTGACAAACACACATCTGTGTCAAAGCACTGAAACACAAAGCTGAAATGCTTATGACTGTAAACCGAGTTGTTTCATAAGTGTAAAAGCTGACATACCTCACTAGATGTTTTCAGTGAAGCAGCAGAAATCAGGCAGACGCAGGTATAGTGTGTGTTTGAGCTGCTGCACGTCTCACACTCGTTCCTTGTGAGTAAACAAGCGTCTGCTATCACACACACCGGGTTTCCTGTTCTGCGGGTCTCTTTTCCTGTTTACACACACATGTAGAGTGTGATGCACCTCTGCACAACACGACAGATGCTGGAGCGATTTATACTCTCAATCCAAAGAATGTTCAGAATGAAGCTGCACCTCTCACAAAAACATCTGTGCTCTGCAGTCAATCTAACATGAATGACAGATAAGGACTTCACGTTCTGTGAGATCTAACGAAACGTTTCTAATAAATAAGATGAAGAAAGCTGACAAAAAATACTTCTGCCTTCTTTTACCCACTAATATAAAATGATTATAACCCCCGCCCCCCTAAATTTTACATGTATTTTTCTAAAAATCTTCATGTATATCTCTAATGACACGATAAGAGAATCTTCATTTTTGGCTGAATCAGTTTTTTCCCGCAGGCTATAGTCAGCCTGAACGATTAAAACATTCATAACTATATATTGTCCATCATAACTGACACATTTATACATAGAATATGAAAATTGTACATTTGTAAACTGTACACTTATAACGTATCTGTACATTCATTTTCAGTTTTTCTTATATTAGTGTTATATTCCATCTCTATACTACGCATGCCTGTTGTATCATGTATGTTTGCACTATGTCCGTACTTTCCTGTCGCCAAGTCAAATTCCTTGTGTGTGTAAACATGCTTGTTGGTAATAAAGCTCTTTCTGACTTCTGAAATATAGCTTCAAGATAACTTAGCAGAAATATTGACGACATGAATATTAATGAAGGGTCTGAAAACAAGTGGTACATATATATTTGGCCATATGTGCCATATAAGCCCAATGCTGAGGATGGAGTTCATCTTCTTCACACAGGCGAGAGACGGAGGACTCAAACACTCATGATGCTCTCAGTCTCTATGTGACTCTGTCAGATGCTTCTGTGATTGGATTATGCCACCTCATTAATTATCAACACTTAAAGATATCCAGGGAATAGCATATGTGTATGGGAGCACAATTAATAATATATATGTAAAGCTCCTGCACTGTTTTCCTGGTTCGATCAATATTAATGTACATATATCAGCAAACGCATCACCAGGTCATCCAATATTTAGATCGCAGCAGTGACCTGATGACCTCCTGCTGTCGTCATACAGAACCTTTCCCGTCAACGGCCAATCAGATCCGAGGGATTCTCACGCAGCTCAAGCACTGAAATAAAATAAGCGTGTTGAATGGAAATGATCATGAAGCGATGAATGGAAAGCTTCCGCTTTAACTTGTCAGGTAAGATGGGTCTAAATAATAATTATCCTATTTTAAAATGTTACTGTTGACTGTGCAAAAAGCAGGCAAATGCCATTGATCCGGTGTAATGACTGTCCGGACTGTTGCAGGCGGTCACCTGATATCTGTTACTTTTCTCCGCGCTGCACAGGATCGACCAATCACAGTCGACTGAGATCACTGGACATGTGTGTGTTTACAAATGACTTTATAGCGATTGCTGGGGAAGATTTGCCTGTGTATGTTAGGTACTGTTCTTAATATTTGTAAAAGATTATAACACTTGGAGTTTAAATGTCTGCAGAAAGACAGAACCCGTCGTGAGATGCTTTATGAGCCGCAGAGCGCCGCCTGCTGGAGAAACAAGAACCTCGCCGAATCTCACCGAACCTCGCCTAACCTCACCGAATCTCACCGAACCTCGCCGAACGAGAACTCGCTCAGTCAGCCATGTAAAGTGCAGGCGACGGGATCCTGTTCCCAGCGAAGATTATTCCTGATCTTCATATTTCAGATCGCAGGGAAACATGGTTCAGTCCTGCTCGGCCTACGGATGCAAAAACAGATACCACAAAGATAAAAACATCTCCTTTCATAAGTGAGCTCCACTCCTGCGTGTTTCTATCGAGTCAGTCGCAGCATCTTGTTGTTTTGTTTCCACAGTTCTCTGGTGGCTTTGCTCATGTTAAACTAGACTTAATCAGCTGTAGTGTTAGTTTGCTTTAGTTTAGTTCACATCAGCGGCTTTATTGGCGCAAGCTTCATGTGTTTCTCAGTAAAGATCAGCTGGAACGTCATCTTTAATGTGTTTTGAGGCACGATATTTTTATTGTGTCCACTAGTTTTCAGTGATGCAATAATGTAAGCGATCATTCTGACTTCACTTATTTCCTCTCATGTAGCTTCAGTGTGACTTTCTTTTGTGGAAAATAAAATAAGGTAACGTATTTTGAGAAATGTCTCAGTGGTTTGTTATTCATACACTTCCCAGCATTCTTCAGAGTATCTTCTTTTGTGAAAGTCATACGTGAGGGCGAGTAAAACATTTAAACATTATTTTTGATGTAGACTTAATCAGCTGTAGTGTTAGTTTGCTTTAGTTTAGTTTCTCAGTCATGTGTTTCTCAGTAAAGATCAGCTGGAACGTCATCTTTAATGTGTTTTGAGGCACGATATTTTTATTGTGTCCACTAGTTTTCAGTGATGCAATAATGTAAGCGATCATTCTGACTTCACTTATTTCCTCTCATGTAGCTTCAGTGTGACTTTCTTTTGTGGAAAATAAAATAAGGTAACGTATTTTGAGAAATGTCTCAGTGGTTTGTTATTCATACACTTCCCAGCATTCTTCAGAGTATCTTCTTTTGTGAAAGTCATACGTGAGGGCGAGTAAAACATTTAAACATTATTTTTGATGACAGCAAATGCGATGCACATGAAATTGCTGAAATTAAGCGAAGCCTTATTTTACTTAGACTTAATTAAAAACAATATTGACAGTACTTGTGGGCATGATGAAGATATGTCAGCACACAGAGATGTTAGCCGTCTTAGGTCTTGTTGTAAATGTTGTGTTTGTTATATTCCTGTGTATTAAGCGCTTGCTGTGCGGGTTGTCTGTACAGTATGTTCTCCTCCACTGAAGTATTGAGTAGATTCTCTCTTTCCTTTACTTTCGGGTAAATAGCTGAGTGACAATCAAGTGATTTGATGATGGTCTGAATTAGTCCATCCTGAGGTTATTAGTGATTGCATGTAATCTGGTGTTTGTCGTCACCTGCACAGGTTTCCTCTGGCCCGGCCGGACGTCTGTGGGAAATGGCTGGCCGCTATGAAGAGAAGAAACTTCAAGCCCAGCAAGTACAGCAACATCTGCTCTCAGCACTTCACCAGAGACTGCTTCAAACACGAGTGCAACAACCGTGTGCTGAAGGACCACGCCGTGCCCTCGCTCTTCTCCTCCAGCAGACTGCAGATGCAGGTGCCGCTCCTTTACTCACACAGCGAGGCCAGAAGCAATCCAAAGCTCTCGTGTCTTTGGGTGATATGCAGATGTGTGCTATACGTGACGTCACACGACAGAGTGTAGTGTTAGTCGTGCTCTCAAACTAGAAACGCCAAAAGAAAAACTGTAGGGATGTGCATCTCAGTACTGAGGCCGATACGATACGGTTCACCCCATTACGATTTCGATTCAACACAATGCGATTGCATGCAATACGATGCAATGGAAAAAATATGATCACATTTATTTCTTTGGTTCAGACAGACAGCAAGTCATAAATTAACTTGAGTGTCCTCTGACTTCTAACGCCTCGATGCTGGTTTCATAAAACTAGTTTACCAAATAAGCCAGGCTCATTTCAGTTAGTCTGACTCATTGTCACATGATTAGGTTCCATAAAGCAAATTTAACAAAGATCGAGCTCAGGCACTGTGATAACTCATGCTGGAAACTAACCTGGTCAGGAGCAGGCTAACTGCGCTCCTCTAACACTGACCAACAGGAACGCATTGATATCACACACTATTCTAGCCATGCAGCCTTTCTCTCTGCTTATATGACAGCTGTACCTTTATAGTTAGCTGAACATTACAATCTAAAATTGCTCTTTAAAGCATTAAAATCACTCAATTAAAAGTTAAAATAAAGAAAAATACTACATTTAAAACTGCTATTAGAAACATTAACTAATTTGAGCTTAGTAATTAAGACTGTATTAGCTTACATTTGATTTACCCATTACAATACTCCCTTTACAGTCAGTGCTATCATAAAAATACACTTATATGTAGGTTTAAACTTCTACAAAAGGCACATTTAATGTCCATCAACAAATATTTTAGCAAACTGCATATTTTACTCAGAATTATTGCTCTATAATTCTATTCCGCTCCGTCTGTTTAGCGTTCAGCAGCACTCGTTCACTCGCCTGCTCCTGACAGCGAAACGGATATGTTTGCGTGACTTTCTAACATTCACAGATGAAGAATATACCTGTGATGTCAGTTATGCACTGAGGAAAACACAACGTCTCAAATGCATTAAACAGCACAGATATATTCGCTATGGTGGATCGATTGATCCATGATCGACAGTAAGGACTTGAATCCCTGCTTTTCCTCGGTCTCCGTCGTGTTGTGATGCGTCATATTCACACAGAAGCAGTGATGAGAGAGACATAAACATATTTTACACATAAAATATTAGTCACTTTCTAAACAATAAACGTATAGCACATCCACTAGTAATTATTTTTTTTGCCGAAGCAAAGGTGTTAGAAACGATGCATCGCGATATAAATGCCAACTTGTATCCGATGCACACTTTTTTAAATTGATGCATCGCATTGTTAACTTGTTAATGCCGAAGCACCGAGCGAATCTGGGAATCATCCCATCCCTACTGCGCACAGATTTACACCTGAACTAACTTTAATGAGCATTTAAAGGTGTTGTTTCATCATTTCAGTACATTTGTATTTTTTCCTGATAATCTGTTATCGGAAGATTATCAGAAATTATCCAATATGGGCTCCAGAAAAGCTCCAGAATGGATCATTAAAGTGACCTGTAGCACTTGTGCCCAATACAGTATACAGTGGGTATGGAAAGTATTCAGACCCCCTTAAATTTTTCACTCTTTGTTATATTGCAGCCATTTGCTAAAATCATTTAAGTTAATTTTTTTTTCCTCATTAATGTACACACAGCACCCCATATTGACAGAAAAACACAGAATTGTTGACATTTTTGCAGATTTATTAAAAAAGAAAAACTGAAATATCACATGGTCCTAAGTATTCAGACCCTTTGCTGTGACACTCATATATTTAACTCAGGTGCTGTCCATTTCTTCTGATCATCCTTGAGATGGTTCTACACCTTCATTTGAGTCCAGCTGTGTTTGATTATGAAAAATTTAAGGGGGTCTGAATACTTTCCGTACCCACTGTATCTACAGTTTTCTGAAGTCATACGATCCATTGGAAGATTTCAGTAAAACTGTCTCCTCCTCCTCGAATCTCATTGGTTCTGACAGATATTCAGACTCATTGCTCTTATTTGATGTCTGTAATGTCCAGCCAAGCACAGCTTAAAGTGAGTCTCACAAGTAAATGACAGTGAGTTTGCCAGTTAATGAGTTTATATTTTGGGTTAATGGACTCATTAATGTCATTCCCAGCTGGTATAACTGGTGTAAAACTGTTGTTTCAGTACAAGGGTTGGGTGTCAGATGAGCAGACGTCTTTCACTTTTACCCGGGATGCATTTGAAACGTAAATGGCAATGATAGAGTGTGGTTTGAGTTATTGGAGTTTAGCATTGAACTCCTGTGATTGGGTTATTTGAGACGGATGGACTGGGGACGAGGCGTTATGAAAGTTACAGAATGTTTCAAACTCTCATTTTTCCAAAGATCAGGTAAAACACGGCCCTGTCCCAAATGCTGTGAGCGCAGGTCTGCATCAAGCGCTCCATTCGGGACACGGCCTTCGATTTCCCATCATGTGAGTTAGAGCTGGGAGATTTTTATGATTTTATTGATTAATTTGAATTTAATGTTTTGCCACGATTTTATTTTTTATAAATCGAGGAATCGCAATTTTAAATATAGAAATATTACCAAACGTTAGAATTAGACACTTTGGCAATATGCCAATGATAACAGTAAAGAGAAAAGAACGATCCAACTGCATGTCAGCGCACGTGATGTGATGCAAGTCACCTTTATTTATTTATTTATTAACAATACAGATTGTGTCAAAGCAGCTTCACAGTATTAAATAGGAAAAACTCATATCGCTAGGAGCCATTCACACAGAATGCAGTTTTGTGTTGACAAAGACGCGAGCAGTGGAACAGGAAAACATGGGAGTGAACTTCTGTTAACTTGAGCGTTGCATGTTTTTAGACTGCTGTTTCATGCATTAAGACGCGAGCACAACAGTCAAACACGTCCATGTTTACACAGAAAAACAATGGAAAAGCAGCGCAGTCGAATAAAAAAACCTGTAAAGAAGTACTGCGGTATGACTGATATTTCATGTGTGCATCACGGTGACAGACTGAAAGCTGCTGTTCATTGTTTTTACAGAACATTTATAGTTAATTCAGTCATTCAGTCATTTTGAGTTTGAATTACCTTGACTTTCGAGAATTTTTTTTAAAGCATTTTCCTCGTATTATTTCTGAGCATATAATATGCATAAGACAAGTTTGTACAAGATGTAGTGGTATTTCATGCATCTTTTGTGCAAAGAATAACATTTACATCATGTTGACAACTCATTGTGTGATGCACTTGGAATAGAATTTTCTGTAGTTAGAAGGTTAATAAAGAAAAAGTTACTTGATTCATGTTGTAGATACATTATTCAAGTTGACTACCCTAGTAAAAAAAGTCATATATTTAAAACACATTTATTTCATACTAAGTATAGTTCAAATCTATTAACATGTTTACTGACATATCACACGAGACTTACTGATATAAAAAATTATAATTAAACTTTATTTTAGTATCACTTGTGCACAATGCACATTTCTTAATATTAAGCCTAAAATGTGTTTTAATGTCACTATTGATTAGGATTGTATGACCTTTGAATAAAATCAGTCAAGATATTTAAAGTGTACCTGAAGTATACTTGCAATAGTTCCACTTTAGCACAATTGAAGTATACCAGTTTAGTATTCTAAAAGTACAATTGCAGGGTATTTTTATCAAGTACATGAATAAGTAAATGTATTTGTAGAATACTTAGCATGAAATAAATTTATTTCAAATGCATTTTAGTATATTTATTCTTCTCTAGGGTAGTTAAAATTGTAGAAATCAAGAATTGGTCAAACGTTCTGAAAAAGTCGAGATTTCAGTTTTTTTGCCCAGCTCTAATATGAGCCCTGTAAAGCTGATCATTTGCTCTGGGTTGTTCTCAGGCAGCGTCTCTGGAGGAGAGCTTCAGCGCAGACTTGGCCTTTCCTCTGAGCCTGCCGCTGTCTGATGCAGCGGTGTGTCCGTCTGAAGCCGAGCCCGCTCCGCTCCTCCACACCAGCGCCTTCGTCTCCTGCGACCACAACTACACGGTGGAGGACACGCTGCAGCAGAAGAGATGCATCGAGCAGCTGCAGGAGCAGATGGAGAAGCTGCGCAAGAGACTGAAGATGGTGCAGCAGAAGTGCAGGCGGCAGGAGAGGCAGCTGGAGCGCTTCAGAGCCATGAGCGAGGTCCAGAGGGACACGGCGCTGGGAGACAGCTACGTTGTCCTGCCCAAAGAGATCTACGACGTCCTGAAAGGAATAGAGACCATCGGTGCGTTGTGAGGGAAGTCGAGCGAGAGAGAGTGTCACGGTTTTAAGTGGTTTTAGCTTTTCCTTTAGGGGTTTTAATTCTTCTGTCAATCATGACTTGTGTTCTGAATGTGTGTGACCGTGTTCTCTTTGACTGAAGGAGGTTCAGATGGACAGAATGAGGTGTAGCTTCTGGAGGTGTCGATGTCGGTTCTAGTCACAGATCTTTGTGGAACCGAATGTCGTTTCAGGAGAGGATCATCCGCTTCAGAGCAGAACTAACTCAATAACTGCGTGAGAGGATTCAGGTGTGATCGTTTGCAGCGTTGAATTCATCTGATTCGGTCAGAGTAACTAGCACTTGTGAAAATAGTCCATGCGCTTGGATGCCAGATGAGCCCCGGTGCACGAGAGACTCGACCGACGCTGGAGCTGATGCTGACTCTGTGACAAACGCTTCAGTAAATCAGGTTCTCATTATCTGCAGATTTGTTGAAATGGCAGCAGATCAGTGTTTATTCTGTTATTAAATGTTTTTTCTAATTTAAACCTCTAGAATTTATACTGACTAGTTTGTTTTGATTTGATGAATGTACTAAGATGACCAAACTGGACTTCACTAAACACATTTTCAGTAGCCTTAGTCACATATCAAAGGGCTTTGCGCTGTTCGCTGTTGTTTTTCACCCCTTACTGATTCATTTATTATTTACAAAACTTTAATAATCGTGGAATCAATTTAAGCCACATGGGTAAAAATAGATTTTTTTGCTGGGAAAACTTCATTCATAGTTGCCTTACGTCACAGTGCATTGTTCATGTGTTTGACTGTTTCAATACAACACTCTCATTCTTGAGCTGAGCTTGTGCTTGAATGAGTTTCAGTGTCATCTAAATGTCACGCTTTATTACGGTCTTGTACTGACACACTTATTGGAAGATGATTGTATATATGGTCAATAGCTGTATATATGGTCCAAGGCACAACCCTTACAAAACTCTATACCACAATAATGAATGTTTCCTCCAAAATATGAATTACTACACTCGGATCATAACAAATAAATATGATAAATGATTCAAACTGTGTAAGAGTCTTTTTCAGAATCTCTTTGATTTCTCTATCATTGGAATGTTTATGAAAAGGATGGCTAATAACTGTAGTAACTATTATGGTGAATGTGTGTGAGGGTAAACGCAACAGCAGCATGAGCTCAACACCCGTGTTTTGATCATCACAAAAATGAAGTTCATTAACATGCTGCGTGTTACTCATAACCTTGAAGATAGTTCGTTGACCAATGCCTTTCCACCATCAGATTAAACAAACTCTCTTCTAGGAGCTATGAAACCAGTCTGTTTAGTTTAGTATTTTTTATTTGGGGTCATTTAAGTAATAATGACATTTATAGATATATTTATAGAAATAATGTTGTGAACCAAATATGTAGTGGAGAGTGGGGCGGGCGGCTAAAACTAACCTGTCTCATGACGGTCTAAACCCAGCTCACATCAGTCACATCCATCAAATATGGAAATTGAGTTCTCTTATCTGTTTGATGCTGATTCCTGTAGTCCGCTACAGTATCACATCAGATAGTGTGCTATAGATCCCCTGAGAAACATTTCCACTCATTCTCTCATCAAAACCTACTTGTACAATAGATCCTATTCAATCTAAGCTACTAAAAGAGGTGCTTCCAGAAGTCATAGATCCTCTTCTGAATATTATTAATTTGTCAATGTCATTAGGATATATTTTTTTACCTTTATTTATATAGCGCTTTATACAATATTGATTGTGTCAAAGGAGCTTTACAGTGTCAACAGGAAAATAGTTTCAATAATGCAAGAGGACAATAACATTCATTTTTTCCAGCTGAAGTCAGTTCATTGATGATTCAGTGATGTCATCATTCAGTTCAGCTCACTTCCAAAAGTGTCTCTTCAATCAGGATATGTCCCAAAAACCTTCAAACTGGCTGTAATTAACACTCGTTTAAAAAAAACAACAACTTGATCCTAGAGAATTAGTTAATTACAGACTGATCTCGAATCTCCCTTTTCTGTCCAAGATATTAGAAAAGGTAGTATCCTCACAATTATATTCCTTCTTAGAGAAAAATGGTATCTGTGAGGATTTCCAGTCAGGATTTAGACCGTATCATAGTACTGAGACTGCTCTCATTAGAGTTACAAATGACCTGCTCTTATCATCTGATCGTGGTTGTATCTCTCTATTAGTGCTACTGGATCTTAGTGCTGCGTTCGACACTATTGACCACGACATTCTTTTGAAAAGACTAGAAAACTTTGTTGGCATTAATGGAAGTGCATTAGCATGGTTCAAATCGTACTTATCTGACCGCCATCAATTCGTAGCAGTGAATGAAGAGGTATCATATCAATCACAAGTGCAGTATGGAGTACCTCAAGGCTCAGTACTAGGGCC